CCCCAAAACCCCAAAACCCCAAAACCCCATCATATTTATTTTGATTAAAAATCATGAATTAAGGGATCTAAATTAATTCTTAAATTATCTAAGTAGCGCTATTAATCTTTTTAATCCACAAAGATAAATTAAAGTCTTTATCCTTTGAATTTTTAAACAATTTTAATCCATGAATTTGATTCAGTTATCGATATCTATTTATTCTAATTTTGAAACCTCTTCATAGTCACTAATCATCTACTAAAGCAATTCTCTGGTTTCTGAAGCTTCTCCACTTTCCATTCCTTCTCCAACGAAATAATGAATGAATGCTTTTTTTTCATACAATTTATCGAACTTATCGGCGATTCCTTACAATACAGTTATTACATTACTAGAGGTGCTTAATGTGCTAAAATTAAACTTCTCTTAACTTGGAAGATAAGAAGTTGAACTGTGAGTATCTTCTTGCAAATCAGAACTAACATCTCTATAGTATTTCGGTGCTCTTTAAGAGCTAAAGTAATAAGAAAAGCTTTTTTGATCTGCCAGTTTAGGGACTATATTTGAATTCACATTTTGAAACAAACAATTGTATTCTTTTATAATGCTTAGTTTATTAATAGACCCTCTGGTGAATGTTGAAATATCAATTATACGCTGCTCAATTTCAGAATCCTTTGAATTTTAATAGTAACCAAGATTGAAATTATTAGTATTGATTAGTTATCTCTAAGCGTAATCAGTACTATTGAATAATTGTTACTACTCATTCTAAATATAGTGGCTAGGAGAAAAACTTTTAATAGAAGGGTAGGGTTTTTATTACTGGCATAAACGATCAAGGGAAAATCTATTAGAACTGGTATCGCCAAAATATCTTGCACTTGATGTTAAATTAGACAAAAATTCTACATAAAGTCTATTTACTTCCTCATGTTTTGGCATCTCAATTCCTCTATTTAATTTGAGAATCTGCGAGGCATTTTCATTTGTTACAAATATACTTAAATCAATACGTTCTAGCAATAAGCTCGAGCTAAACATAAAGTTATAAGGTTCTACAATTGAGTCAGCTACATTTTGACTAGGAAAAAGTTAAAAAGCTATATTTTTAGCTTTATTATCAGTATCATAAAGAGAGTCTTTTACAACATTTGTCAAACCAGATCCTGTACCTCCGCAAGGTGAAAAATACATAATTGAACCTTCATAATAATCAATCTTCTCTGTTTTATGTCTTATTAATTCTCTAAGTTATTTTTCTAAATCTCTACATGTATTATATTTAGCTCTTGTTGATAATCCTCCAGATCCCTCAATGTTGTACACGATTGAATCCTCACCAAATATCGAGTATACATCATTCTTTTGTACTTTCCTGATTGCTTCGTCATCTAAATCACATAAAATGGCATTTGCTTGGAATTAGTTTTTGTCATTTATACTATACAATGGACTACTAATCACTGGAGGCAAAAACTACTATTCACTTGCCGCAATATCTTCGTAATAAAGCTGATTCCAAAGTTGGTCAGCTAAATTTATACCAAATTATCCAATATGGATATTCAACATTTCTCTCATTATGACTTTTGCTTTATAAATATTATTAAATTTTTAATTAACAATTAGGATTAGATATTTACAATATTTTAATAAAACATTTCTTCTATTTAAGTCTTATAAAGCGTTACGGGGTTTTGGGGTTTTGGGGTTTTGGGG